AGACAGAGTCTTACTGTATCACCCTGGGTAGTGCTGTGGCATCACAGCTTACAGCAACCTCCAACTCTTGGGCTCAAGAGATTCTCTTGCCTCAGCCTCCCAAGTAGCTGGGACTACAGATGCCTGCTGCAATGCTTGGCTATTTTTTGTTGCAGTTGTCATTGTTATTTAGCTGTCCTGGGCCAGGCTGGAACCCGCCAGCCCTGGTGCAGGTGGCTAGCACCCTACCCACTAAGCCACAGGCACCACCTAGAGTATAGTTCTATAAGTCCTCACAAAGGCATGCAATCTTCTTTAAACTTTCACAACTGTGAATTTAGGGGTCTAATGGGTATAGATAGTTTAATAAACTATCTCATTTTGATGTTGCCTACTGGCAGCCTTCATGATTCATCACAGCCTTTTCCCTCTCTGTCTGACATCCAGACAAGCTGGTGAGATAACTTTGGTACTTGCTCCCTTCTTTAGTACTAGTAGAGAGTTCAAACCATGCAAACCCCTGCAAGTGCATGGAGAAGCCTGCACTACAGCCCCACCCCCACCCCCAATTGATATACAAACACTAGCCTGTCACCCTTCTGTTCTCTCAAGTCATTTTAAGATCTGCTTGGAATAATTCATCACACAAACAAATTAAAAAACAAAGACCATATGATTCTCTCAATTGATGCAGAAAAATCTTTTGATAATATCTAGCATCTTTTCATGATCAGAACACTTAAGAAAATTAGTATAGAAGGAACATTTCTTAAACTGATAGAGGCCATCTACAGCAAACCCACAACTTATATCATATTGAATGGAGTTAAATTAAAATCATTTCCACTCAGATCAAGAACCAGGCAAGGTTGCCCATTGTCTCCACTGCTTTTTAACATTGTAATGGAAGTCTTAGCTGTCGCAATTAGGGAAGAAAAGGTGATCAAGTGTATCCATAAAGGGTCAGAAGAGATCAAACTTTCACTCTTTGCAGATGATATGATTGTATATCTGGAAAACACCAGGGATTCAACTACAAAACTTTTGGAAGTGATCAAGGAATACAGCAGCATCTCAGGTTACAAAATCAACACTCATAGATCTGTAGCCTTTATATATGCCAACAATAGCCAAGCTGAAAAAATAGTCAAGGACTCTATTCCTTTCACAGTAGTATCAAAGAAGATGAAATATTTGGGAGTTTACCTAATAAAGGATGTGAAAGATCTCTATAAAGAAAACTATGAAACTCTTAGAAAAGAAATAGCTGAAAATGTTAACAAATGAAAAAACATACCATGCTCGTGGCTGGGAAGAATCAACATTATTGAAATGTCCATACTACCCAAAGCAATATACAATTTTAATGCAATCACTATTAAAGCTCCACTGTCATACTTTATTTATTTATTTATTTATTTTTGGTACCATCCATGGCACTCTCTTATTTAATTAATTTATTTATTTTTATTTCTTATAGCATAACTATGTACATTAATGCAATCATGGGGTACATTGTGCTGTTTTCATATACATTTTGAAATACTCTTATCAAACTGGTTAACATAACCTTCATGTCATTTTCTTAGTTATTGAGTCAAGACATTCATACTCTGCTTTAAAAAAGATTCACTTGTACCCTTGTAAGATTAACCATAGAGGTGACCCCACCAATCACCCTCCCTCC